TTTTTCCAACTGTTTGTCCATCAGTCCCAAGAGGAAGACTTCTGGTCTCATCTGTATATTAACCTTTAAAATCCTCTGAATCAGTGTATGTATTTGAATCCAAAATTTTCCAACTTTTTTACACATCCACCAAGTATGCTAAAATGACCCTTCTTGTTGTTCACATTTCGAACATAAAGTGCTTTTATACATTCTAAACAGTTATTTATGGTTTCTGTGAAGTATAAATCGATCTTACCCATGTTATAAAGTTCTCTCCAAGTTCATATCTTCCAAAAGTTGGAACAAGGAAACCCAATTCAAATTGTCAAAGGGCTTCTCTGCATTAAGAAAATCAATGTGGCTTGTTTTTCACTTTGTTGCTCCAAATATTCCAAAATGTCCAACACATTTCTAACATTATCCTTTAACTGTTTTTATGTAAAAACCCACACTGATCCTCATGAATACATTTTTACAAAATTATTTTCAGTCTATCAGCTAGAATCGTTGTAAACATTGGCCTATTGTTTCTTGTTAAAGTCAAATCTTGGCCTCTTTCAAGTTCTCTGGCCTCTTTTCTCCCTGTAAAATAAAATTCATCGTATTTTGTAAAGGTTGTAAAAGTTCATCTTAAAACATTTATCATAAGAACACGATAATCCGTCTGGTCCAGGCACCTTTCCTGTTTTAATTTTTTTTTTATAGCTTCACAAACTTCCCTTATTGTTATAGGTCAATTCATAATCTGTTTCTGTTCCTCTGTAATGCTCAGTAAAATTTGTTTCTTTAGGTATTCATCTATTTTCTTGTCCTGTCTTGTTCTTTATACAAATCAGAATTGATGAAATACTTTTTGCATAGCCATGTTATCCATTAATATAATCTGTCTCTCTTGTAGTTTCAATATTATTTTCTTTTCTTTTTCTTTTTGTAATTTATATGCCAACCATTTCTCTGGTTTGTTTGCAAACTCAAAATTTTTATGCTTTACATAGTTCATTTTTATTTCTATTTCTCTTATTGATAACATAGATAGCTTCATTGTAAAGCTTAATTTGTTGAGAAATACTTATCTTCTCTGGAATTTTCTTTAATTCTTCTTCTTTTCTTTTTATCTCATCCAAAATAGCTTGTGTTTACTCTTGATTCTTCTTTTCGAGTTCACTATTATCACAGGTATGAAACAACCTCTGATAAAAACTTTGCTGGTGTCCCAAACCATTCTTAAATCAGTACCTTTATCTAAATTATTTTCAAAGTATTCTTTTAATTTCTTTTTACAGTCCTCCACCATTGCTTCTTTCTATAGCAACATTTCATTTATTCTCCATCTAAAAGAACTAGATTACCTTTAATAAACCAATCTCACAGGATTATGATCTAAAAAGGTCTTTGGTAATATCTCCACTTTATGAATCTTGGTAGCCAAATTCTTCAAAATCCAAATCATATCTATCCTTGAAAAGGATCTATGCCTTTCAGAAAAATACGTATACTCTCTTGAATTGCCATTTTTCTGTCTCCACATATCAACAAGCCCTAAACTGTCCATCAAAAAATAATAATAAACTTTTGGTAATTTCCCTTGTGTAATTTTAATATTTTTCTCAGAAGTTCTGTCTAGTTGTGAGACCACCCCATTCCAATTCCCCATCAAGCACCATGTTCATGGCATGAGTTGCTCCAATAAGGTTGGAGAAAGCAAATGCCTGCATTAAGCAGATTGCTGGACTGAGATTTTCATAATTCTATTGCCCAAGGTGTTGTTCACCAATGTATTTTGGTCCACAGCATAAAGCAACCAGCAACCTACAAGATATTTGGCAACCTTCAATATCCCCAAACAAAATACGGGACTTTTCGACAGCCAAGTTAAATTCTTTGTGGAATTTAAAGAAGAGGCATATTTAAATTTTACCCAGGCATTTGCTTTTCCAAAGAAAAAGGCATGCCCCACAGCCTTCTATATTATAATATATATATATATAAGAGCTCATTTTATCTCTCTTATGTCTTGCATGCATCTAGTTTGTTGTAATAATGACAGATACAAACACTATAAAAATACATCTAAGAAATGTCTGCGTGTGTGTTTGCTGCAGTTATGAGAACATGCCTGCTGATAATAAATGAGAATAAATTTGAATGTGTTTTCATTTTTGAATGTGATTTCATTTCATTATTTCACTTCATCATATCTTTCTATTTTAAATGATATATTTTGTAGAATTGTTGGTTTTTATGATTGACACCCTGGATTTTTAATAAGTTCACAATCAACTCTCAGGTCTGCCGTTTTCTTGCTTTTCTCCCCAGGGAATCTTAACAGCACAAAGGTCCAAAGATGGCCCGTTGACTTAGTTCAGATGCAGTCTGAAGAAAAAGTGCTGGAGGTCTAACAGTCTTGGTGTCAGATGTCACTTTATAGTGGTTGAACGTGACCCCAAAGCATGTTTAGACAAAAAAAGGCTGGTCTGATTGTAACTGTAGAAATTTTGGCTCTGTAGTAATGTTCTACTTCATCAACTGCTGAGCAAAAGTGTGCAAAGTACTAGATTATCAGGGCAAATATAAGTTACATGTAATTCTTTAATAGTATGGAGACATTCTAATTGTGAGGTCTCCTGTAAAAGGTCACATATTAACTCATATATAAACATTTATGTTTTAATATCATACTATTCAGTTTGTTTTCTGTACCATCAAAGCTTCCATTCTCCAATCCCTCAAAAGCAATTGGAAGATAATCTCCTATTGTCTTGAAATGCCAGCGATGCTTTGAGCTGCTACAGGACCAGCACTAATTATAAATTACCCCACTCTCACCTCATTGCTAAAGGAAAATAAACATAAGTTGCTTAAACACTGTCTTTACTTCCTGGTATGTGCATTTGCCTGACAATATGCAGACAAATCTCAGGGGAGTTCAGTGGAGATGCTGTGGGAACACAGAGACTAGTGTTGTTTTCAGACTGGCATAGAATTTGTGTGGAAGTGTCCTCTGTAGAACCCTCTGTTCCATTTCAGACATGTCCAGTTAAAGATTCCTGGTAGTAGAATTTGACAAGGTTTTATGGCTAGACAGACATTTGGTGTAACTTATAAAGCATCTCCAATATAATGTTTTTAAGTCTTCAAGATCCTCCATGCTTGGAAGAAATCCTGCAATAATTCAAGGCATTCTGAGTTATATCTTGATTGTGTTTCCAAATCCAAACATTGGTCTATGTTTTTCCTTGACTAGAGAAATGATATGAGAGAAGAGCGGCTTACCACAGATGTTCAGCCTCTCGTACCATTTGTGATTTTTGTGGACTGGGTCTCATATTTTTTTCCCCTGTAATCCCACTAAAAATCTTCACATGTGACCACCCAGATGATATCTCACCTACTGAAAAACGTTATAGTTAAAGTATCCTCACTGTTTTCATTATGTTTGAAAAGTAATGTCTGCTATTTTGCCTTTCCTTTCCCTCTCCTCTTCCCTCTCTATAGGATACCCTTATTTCTGAACCCAACACACATGATTCTTGTCCTGCTGAGATACCATCAAAAAGTGGCCCATTTCAGACAATAAACCATGTTATAACAGTAAGTAATGGACAATGCAACCAACAAGAGAGTTTGAAGTTTTGAAATTTAGAAGAGGCATGACCACTGCAAATATCCTTACATTCTGACCCAAATATCAAAGTTATAAGCACTTTGTCAACACCAACAAGATGTTAAAGAAGCATAGCTTGAAGATCTATGCACTGATTGTTATTAATTTTGACATGCTTCATCCTTTCATAATGTTCCACTGTACCTGCAAATTCATCAAATCCTGATGAATAACAAAAATGTCTAGCCAGTTGCTCTCCTAGTAAAATATGGAGAACGAAAGGCTATGGAACCAGACAGCAAGCCAGTATGAACAACTTTTGATCTGCCTCAGTTAAGCCATTTCTGGAGCTCCAGAATATGTCATCTCTGCACATTCCTAGTTCTCATCACCATATAAATTTACCAAGTATTATGTAAAATGTTTAGAATTATGCAAAATTCTAAGAAATAGCCAATCAACCATTTGTTTTTTCCTTCTATTTCATGTCTGGAATTTCCGACTGGGATTAGGAAATTACCTTTTAAAAAAAGGATGGCACCCTTGACCTTGAAAAAGACTGAGATGCATCCAGTCCTCATAAAAGCCAGTACCCAAATTTTGGTAACAGCCCAAATTTGGATTTACAGTACAAGCTAGTAGAATTTTTTTTGCACAATCTTGTGGAAAGATACCAAATTTGGGACTTCATGCTTAAGACCTGTTTTGCATGATATTAGAAAAACCTATTAGTAACTAAAGTCTGTTGTGAAATCTGGTCATGTTAAGTACCAAAATGGAAAGAGAATCCCTCACTTCACAAGGACATGAACACTTTCCATGTAGAATGTAGGGAAGGAAAATTTGAAATTTGCTAAAGTAGAAATGAAGGGAACTAAGACAGATGCTTTAAAAATAAGTAAACTTATTTTTCACTTATGTGGATCAGAATGATCTATTTTAAATCAGAAGAAAACATGATATTCTATTTGGGGCCTGAGACCAAATAAAAGAATGAAGTGGCAGTGATATGCAAAAGGATGTTGTTTAGGTATGAGCTCAGTTATAACCCAATAAATGACAAGATCAAATCTGTCAAATCAGATTAGTGGATAGCCAGTGAACATCAGTACAGGTAGTCCTCGTTTAGCAACTGTCTTGTTTAGTGACCATTCATAGTTACGACAGTGATGAAAAAGTAACTTTACAATCAATTCTTGCATTTATGACCTTTCCAGATCTGTAAAGCAAAGGAAAGCTGATATAAGATCATAAGCACAGGTGTGGTTTCACTTAGCAACTGCTTTGCTTAACGACTGAGTTGCCGGTCCAAATTGTGGTTGCTAAATGAGGACTATCTGTATTGTTATAGTATATGATAAACTACAGATTCAGCACTGGTAGATATTAAAAATTCTGTAGTAAATTACAAGTGGTGTTAAATGCAACTTCTAGAAAGGATGTAATAATAGTTTGATTATAAGCTGTAAATAAGTCATAAATTTAGTGTGCTTAACCTATGCAGAAGAGAATCTGTAGAACTCTGGGAAGAGATAAAGACAACAGCAGCAGAACAAATAATTCCAAAATTTGCAAGTGGGGAAGATCCAAATAGCTACCAAAACAAGCTATCATGACAGCCAAAGAAAGATAGTGGATGAACAACTTGAGCTGTAAGAAGGATATACAGTCACTGAATGCAGACTCTCAATGTCAAACAAGAAAGGGCAAAGAAAGATATCTTAATAAAAAAAGTCAACAAATAGAGAATAATAACAAGGAAAATGATAGATGATTTTAAGAAGATCAGAAAAATTACAGAAAAATATACAGCTCTGATAGGGATGGAAATTACCAAAACATTTTCAGAGGGGGAATAAATATATTAACTAAACATGAAGTATGACAGGTAATAATAGATCAAGTGTCAAATATGCAACCACCAGGCATAGATGCATACCCACTGAATTGTTTAACTATCTCTTCTCTTGCAACTTCAAAGAGCTGATCTATTTCACTCATAAACATGGCAGTCCATATATTTTCCTAATTGATCAGTTGATGGTATAGTCCATGTTTCAGTTTGCTAATGTAGTCCATGTTTCACTTAATTTTTACATCACCATTGATACAGAAGTTTTCCATATAAGCAGCTCATCCATTGTCCAAGAACATGGAGTTAAAAACAGATTCATTTTGGGAAGTCTGCGCATTTGCACTTTTATGCAGACTGACATTCATATTGTAGCATTGCTTTCCTGAATTAGCATGTGCCAGAGGATGGTGTGTATGTTGGAATGCTTGCTGAACATGCCAACCAATCAGCATTTGCCTTCATTGTCTCACAGTTGGCCAATCAGTGATTACTTTTGGCACTCATCTGCAAATACTGGTTCTCATTGCATCAGAGCATGTGCTGGTCATAATTTGACAAAAATCTCTTCAGTCCCATCTGCATGCAATAAAATTAAATAACTGACTATAAGTTCCCTTTCCATTCTCTCCAGTCCATGTAGTTGCCTAGTACAAACTTAATGCAAGCTAAATGAAAGTTAGCTAGCCAGATGTTTGGAAGACCACCTAGGCAGTTAAATTCAATGCAAGGCAGAAATTCTATGATTAGGGCTCAAGGAGGCATGAAGAAATCAGATCCAAGAGCTATTTTATTGTGAATGCCTTGTCCTCATCTGACCAATTTTTAAAAAATGGAACAATGTTCTATGATTTGCTACATAACTAAAAAGTTATACAGCACTGCTGTTCCAAGATCTATTGCATTCCTTTCTCCTTAATTTTATCTTTGGAACATATTAAAACTGATTGAAAGCTGTACAGTTTAAATACTTTGTATGGACTTGCCCAGAGTTGTTTTGTTTTGGGGGAAGGTGGTTAATTTTCTATTCCTGTTTAAGTGAAGAGGTTTGTGGGCGTGAAGCCCAACACTGCTCCGTGCGATGTTACTGCAGCTTAAATCTTGCCCCCGAATCATCTGCACTTTGCAGTGTGGTTCTGTCAAAGGCATACAGGCATTTCTTAGTAGCTGTCAGTGTGAAAGCTATAGGTTGAAAATCACTGTAATCCATCTCTCCGTATCGGTTAGCACTATTGTCATTTGCTAAATACCATGTTGCAAAACCTGACTCGTTTGCTCTCAAATGCTGACACCGGATATCTCTGGTGCCATTCATACATACAGTATATCCAATGTTTTGAGAATACTGGGACTTTGTTTATCTGCATAGATACTTATTACATGGCTTATATCCTGCCTTTCATTTAGAAGCTCAAGGTAGGCTGCCTAGCACAGCCTCCTTCTATTCCCCCCCGCCCCAATTCTCTGAGGTATATTTGAGCATTCAGAAATGAAAACCATCACCATTCACAGAGGAGAACCCTAAGGAGAGATTTGTGATGTGTCATTAGCTTTCCTTTCCAGGTTTTCATACGCAATACACGTTTTTTTCTCCCTCTGCCCTAGATACCTCGAATCATCTTAACACACCCTTCCACTTCAGATGAAGATAATGACCAGGTAACCCAAGATCTAGATGATTCTGCACCAGAGGAGATGAAGAACACAGAAGGCCATATTTATTCAGACTGTTTAAATCATACTTTTTATCCTTCTTAATAAAATATTCTTTTTAGAAAAAAGAAAACTCAGATCCTTGTCGGTATCCTGTTTCTCTGTGGCACTGACCTTAATTTGCAGATGGCTTCCTCTTGCTTACCCCTTACAGAAGAGTTGCATATCAACTGTGGTGGAATGTGCTGCCCTATTCCTGTCTGTTTGGCTTGACCTGTATTTGGGCTAAGATTTAGAAAGCTGAAATCATCAACAGGAAGGATATTCCTTTTGAAAAAGCTGAGAACATTTGAAAGTTCACTTGAAGTAAATTTTAATTAGAAACGTGTCTATTTGTTGGGTTTCACAAATTAATTGGGAAGAAAGCCACACATTTTGTAGTTTGTTTTTTAATCCATATTTTCCATACATGAGACCACACTTTCCATTCTAGCTATGTCTAGGAAGCCACATTGAACAATCAGCAGGTGAGTTTCTAGCAGGGAAACCCTACTGAACTCTGCCTAGTATTATTTGAATCTTCTTTTCTTTGAGGAATAATCACGGCAGTTCCTATGCGGTCCAACCAATTTACGAACAGACCCTCTGCATCTTTTCAGTTGTATCCCAAAGGCCTGTATTCATATTGGGGCAACTAGCTGTACCATCATCCTATATCCCTGCAAATCCTCTTCCTTCTGTGGTGTTATGATTAGTAGATGCTTTTCCACTGGTGAGGGAGGGCAGTAAAACCAGAGAAATCAGCCAATCTTTCTGCTTATAACACACTGAACATCCTCAGTTAAGACAGCGCCTTAAGCTTTTGCCTTTGGCAATGAGTCACAGGACAGACAGGATAAGGTTTGGCAGTGGGGAAAGCAACTTTTGTGCTGGTGTAACTTTCTGGTGGCTCAAGGATAGGAGATAGCATTTTAACTTAGCAGTGAGGAAAGGCCCAGGTATTTCCAGGGGCCATATGGGGTAGATGAAACTTCCCCATTTTGTTTTGCTTTGCTGTCTCTTCCTGATTCTGCTTGTGTAATTGGATGGTCGTTGACAAAAAATGGTTGAATCCTACCCGTCCTGCCCTTGGGACAATGAAGACCATACCTTTTCAACTACTCTTGCAAAGAAAAGTCAGCCCAGACATGCAGAGCAAAGCTTTTGTTCTTAAAAGTCCTGACTGAGCCTCTCTCTTGGGGAAGCACAATCATGATTTTCAAACTATTCTACCTTTAGCCACAAGGCGGTAACAAATACTTGCAGAGTTCCTATATGCAGGCATTCTCAGCCATTTGAAGCAACACGGAGCAAAGCTTAGTCACTCTCCACATTTCAGCCTAACCCTCACTGAAAAACTACCCTTCTGGTTAGGTAGCATTCAGAACAGCTGGATAACTCTTCCTCACAGGCAGGTTGTGCATACTTTTTTCTCTCATCATGCCATGCAGCCTGTTTTGTCATCTCCCCTGCCCTCCCCTTGTCATTTTACCACTCTTCTGCTGCTCACAAAGCAAACCGCATTGTCCAAAGAGTGACGGGAGCAGTTGCTGCTGCAGGAAGGTGGAATGTGCTCTTTCACAAGCTTAACTTCCCTCCTCACCTCAGATTTTGTATCAGCTGAAAGGTAGGAACGCCTGAGGATAACCAGAGTGTTTCACTTCCATTGAAATGCATCTACATGCAGAGTGTAATTTCAGCCAAGGGATCACCAGGCTCTGCTAGGAACATATCTGAACGATCCTGAGTATGTTCAGAATGTACTTCCCTCAGTATTCACCAACTACAGCCAGCTTTAATACTTCTAGAATTATGAAATGATGCTTCTTGCTAGTTAGTATTTCCAGCCTTCCTGATCTTTGGTATTGTAGTTTCTTAGATGGCTCGGAGATCTGTCTTCTTCATGAAAATAATAGGAGCGGAAGAGCCCTGTCATCAAAGTAGAGGATGATGATGATGATGATGATGATGATGATGATGATGATAATGATGATGATGATCGCGATCATGATCAGGATGATCAGGATGATATTATGGGTTACAATCATATCTGGACTGTACC